TTGCCCTTGCCACCGAGCTTTCTCCGGGTCTTGGCTAGCTCCTCTGGAGTGACCTCCAGGCCCTCGTCCCAGTCTCCCACCCCCACCTCGGGGGAAGGGATCATGGAGGGTCCCTTTCCGCCCTCGAGAATAGGGCGTCCAGGAGCCCATCGAGGGCTTGGGGGTCTAACGTCTCCGTCTGCGGGGGCACCCAGGGACGGATCTTCCCCATCGTCCTCTTGTATGGGCGCCCCCACGGATCGTCATCCAGGGAGCTCACCAATTGCTTCCAGGCTTCCCGCTTGGCCTTTTTGATGGCTTTCTTGAGGACTACCCTGGCGGCAAGGTAGTCCTCTTTTGCCCTTGTGGCATCCCCGTCTCGTCGCCGGGCACGCGTATATGCCCTTCTGGCGCGGTCGGAGTCACTGCGAAGTCTCGCTATTTCCTCCGACCACCAGTACGCTGCTCGGCGCCGACGGGGGTGGGAACGGGGCATCGCGGCGTCGAATGCCAACGCCACTATCCCCGTTATCTCCCCGGCCCCCTCCAGGGGGCCGGGGTCCCACTCACCTGGCTCTATGTGCCAGGTGGCCACAAGGACAGCAGCCCTGAACCTGTCCACATCCAGTCGACTAAGGGCCCATCTTTTGGGGAGAAGAAAGTTCCTCTCTCCTGAGCGGCGAGCTGTTTTGGTTTGGGGAGGTTGGTGGAGGGCCCAGACTATGTATCTATGGTCAGATAACGTCTCACCCTCCACCTCCACCCTCCATTCGGAGACCAACCTTGCAGCCGAGAGGCCAAAGTCAAATCAATGACCGATGACCCCCTCCCGGCCTTATATAGGTGCCGATGGAACCTCTGTTTAACAACTGAAGGCCCAATCCCGCCGCCCAGCCGATGACGACCTCGCCCCTGGGATCCCGCTGCCGGGGACTACAACCCCACTCCTCCGAGTGGGCGTTAAAGTCCCCGGCAATCACGACAGGTCGGGATGGCACTTGCGCACAAAATCCCCGATCCTGTCTAGGATCCCTTTAATGCGGGCGAGACCGCCAAGCCCGGCTTTGTTCCTGTGGTGGGGAAGATATACCCCCACCACAGTTATAGGCCCCCAGTCGACCGCCACGTACGAGGACCCCTTTTCCCTTAAAACACAGGGAGGGTCTATCGTCATAGACGGGGTATACCCCCGGAAGAGCCGCCCCTCCTTCACCTCCCTCCATGAGAGGAAGAGGAGGAGCTGATTCTCGCCACTTTCCTCCTCTTCCTCTTCTTCTTCCTTTTCTTCTCCTCTCTTCCTTCTTCCTCCGCTGAGGTAGATGCCTCTCCACTTGTTACCTTCGCGTATGTCCTCCTTCTCCTGGACGGCTCTGGGAGAGGGGGCTGAGTGGGGATCACCTGGGCCCTGCTCGTCTGAAGCTCCTCCTGGAGCTTCAGATTTTCCGTCCGCAGTACCCTGATTTCCTCCCTAAGCTCCTCTGTCTCCCTCATTACCTCTGGCCTCTCCGATCCTCCAGTCTCCTGTGCTGCAGTTCTGGCGATCAGGGTCGTCAGAGCTGCCTGAGAGGTGGCAGCAGCCCGGTTCAGCAGGCTGATGGACGTCCCTTTCAGGGTATTCGAGCGTCTCGCCACCAGCCTGACTGTTTCCAGGGCCCGACCCACCTCCTCGGCTAACTCCGACGAGCCTACCCCCCTGAGAAGGTTCGCAGAGGTGATATCCTTGAAAAATTCCTCAGCGGGGCGCTTGTCCGCCAGCGTATAGAAGAGCCCCCTTTCGAGTAGGCTTCACGCCTCCTTCTCCAACCTCTTAAGGCGCTCCTCTTTTCTCTCCCTTGCCTCTTTCTCTCTCCTCTCCCTTAGGCCAACCCCTTCACCGATCGTGGGTCGTCTTCCCCTCTTCTTTCCGGCTGGTATTAAGGCCGGGGCCGGGCCCTCCACGATTTCTATCGCCGATGTGGATCCTCCGCTGGTGGAAGACCTCCCTCTCTTCTTCCCTGTGACCACGCTGCTGTTCCCTTTGCCTGCCACTGCTGGTTGCAGCAGCGCCTTCCCTTCCGCTCTCCGGACCTGGAATCTAGATCCCTGAGAGAGGAGTATGTCAGTGATGACAACCGGCCCCGCGATCCTCGCCCCCGACACCCCCTCTCTCTTCTCGGTCCCCGCATCCCGGTTGGCCCCATGTACCCCCTTGTTATCTTTGGGAGCAGACTCTCTCTGCATCTTCTTTGTGCAGAGGGCGCCGGGCTTGTTGGTCCCTGGTACCGGCGTCCCCTGGCCTGCAGGGACCCCGGACCCCAGGTATATGCCTGTCCCTCGTTGGGTGGCCGCTCTCGTAATCCTCCGCGGAGAGCTCACCCTATCAGTCCTCCGGTGAGGACGATAGTCCCGATCACTATCGCTAGTGGTCGTTGAGGGGGATGGACTGCCCTCATTAGATGGTCCCCCGGAAGCTATTCCTCCGAGGTCCATGCGCTCTCTCTCCCCGGCGGGAGGGGACATGGCACCCGCCGGCAGATCTCTGCCCATCCTTCCTCCTCTCTCTTCCTCTGAAAAATCACCCGCCGAAGCGGGTGGTGAGCCCGTAGGCGGGTTGCTACACCCGCCTTTTCGGGACTCTGAGTCCGAAGGCTCAGAGAAGTTTTGTTTTTTTTTAATTGGAGATCTCATTTCTGGTCCCACGAGTTCGGCGGGAATGGGTCGTCGACCCCGGGTAGAGCCCCCGCATTACCCGGGGTAAGGCTAGCATGTCCCTTGGGTTCGCCAGGTGCCCAAGGTGAGGAACCACTAGCGACAGGTCACGCACCATTCATCCCAAGCGTGGCATGCCTCAACCATAGGATTATGTGGTATTTTATAAAGGAGCCGCCTCGCGGTCCGGCCAATTAATGTAAGACCCCCGGCCCCAGAGACATGACCTAGGGTTACGGTGTAGTAGGCTAGGGTCTGCAGGGGTTGCCTGAGTCCCCTGTACCAGAGTGCCGAAGCACCCTGGCCCCTCGCAATTGTGTCAGGTTATACGTCCTGACAAGTACGGGTTTGCAATCAGAGTTTTCCTTCCCCTAGAACGGTTGCCTTCATCTGGCTCACGAGCCCGTTCTACCCGCGCTATAAGATCCTTTGGGCCCTACGAATGAGACCCTCCAGACTCTGTTAAAATCTGGAGGCAGCTGCCGATCCATGGACGCTCTTAGTCTGGCTCCTCTGTACAGACCACTCCGGCATGGTGGAACCTGCCAGGGACCGAAACCCCCGCCGGTACAGCTTTGTACATCATAGGGACACGCAAGCTCCCCCACCACGGCAAGATGGCGTCCACGAGGGAGATCGCGTACTCCCTTACACCCTTAGTATTTATGTGGTCCGGTCATCCCCCTTCGGGGGGTTGGCTCGACCAACAGGAGCGGTGATTTGGGGGCAGTTGGTCGGTTCCTCACTGTTTGCGCCGGGTGTTGTTGGCGTGGGGTTTGGCGGGGGTGTAATCCCCTTACCTCTCTTTCCTCTCCTGCTACTGCTGGGTCCTGATTTAACTCAGGTCTCAGCGGCTCCTCTCTTATTCCCCCTTCTTGCTGGGAGGAGGTGCATCGGGTGGTCACACCACCACCCACCAATCCCTCGTTGAGGGAATGGCCGCGATGACGCCCAAGACGTCCTTTACCGCCCCCCCCCCTTCGTAATGAGCCAGCAGGATGGCCCCGCCATCCTGTGGCTCGCATTTCGCCCCTGCTCACAGCACACCATGCAGTTTGGCGACTCCTCCTCGCATTTTAGCGCGGTGTGCCCGTCTCGGCCACACCGATAGCACAGCCCGCTGCGGTCAACCGCAACGGGACAATTGTACTTGTGGTCGAGACCCCAACACCTGTAACATTGGGGTGTCTGGTTGTCAGCATCGTGATGCTTATTATAGAACATCCCAATGTGCAATTTCCCTGTTTTGGCCGCTGCAGTAGCAGCGGCCAATGGTAGACGCGCCCACGCGACGCCCCTTCCTCGGGCTCCCCACTTCAGGGGCCCCAATTCTATCCTCCCTTTATTACAGTCTGCGCTGTCGGCCAGAGCTGCAGCAACTACTTCCGGGGAAGCCGCCTCATTAAACCCGGTGAGGCGGACCACCCCTTTCAGCGTTGGTCGCCCAATTGCCTCTGGCAGCAGCTCCCTAAGCTTCTCCGCCAAACGGTCAGCTTTTACCCCCTCGGGGCCCGGATCCCTGATGCGGACTATCAAAGCGCCATTGGCGCATCTCCCTGTGTCCACGCCAGGAATGTCTAGTTCCCCGAGGGTATCTCCCTTATGGCCTTCCTTATGGCCTCGGCGAACGAGGTTCCTTTCTCCAACCTGACCGTTACCGCCGCTATCGTAGGCAGCCGCGGCCATCTTTTCCTCTTCTCCCTGGGTGAGAGGGGCTCAGAGGGGCGTTGTACAGATCTCTGTATCTTCCCCCGATTCCCCCTCCTGTCCTTCTGTTGTGGGCGCGCTACTGTTTTGTTAGCTGACGCCTGCCCTCCTTCTTCCTCTCTTCCCTGTCTCTTTTTCCTCTTCCTGTTGTTTATAGCTGTCTACTCCATCGAGTGGAGTTTAAAATCAATCGTCTGCTTAGTTTCTGAAAAAAAATTCGCGAAAATAGCTTATTTCTCTGGCCTACAAACAGGATTATCTCCTTAGTCGACATAAGGAGAAAAGAGGAAAGCGCAATATATTACTAGTTTAGAGCGAGCAAGACACCTGTAGAGACAGCGCGGTGTCTCTATAGCTGTCTCACTCATATTGCCTGCATTCAAGCGTAAAGAGAGTGAGACAGCTATTGAGGACACCATTAACCGTACCACGTCTGGTAATGCTTTCTCTCTCGATCGTGCGACGTGCGATAAGGATGCAACATCGGAACGTCTCCCAACCATCTCTCCCTCTTCGCTTCTCTCGCGCTATAGAGTACGCCCATATGCATATGCGTATATGCCTGTCATCGCTTTCGATTGTTTCACAGGCGTATACGACATCGCCGAGGGACACCATACCTGCCCCTAAGTATACAACGGCTTCAGGGCCTGCCATAGACGACGCTTTTCATCGCGACTGGCCCTGAGCTGTGGCGCCCAGATTGGCGCCCCGTACAGGGCGATCGAGAGAATGGCGTTCACATACAGGCGGTGCGCCCTCCATCCCGGACCGACTTGGGTGCGCAGAAGACTGGCTACCGCCAGTCCAGCTCCGCGCACCTTGGGGGCCAATTGCCTGAAGTGTGGCTCAAAGCCCTATCGGCTGTCCAACGTCAGGCCGAGATACTTGATCGTCGGCCCGACGTGGATGCGGACGCCATCGACTAGGATCTATGTCTCCGGTGGCGCCCCTCGACCGCCGTCGTGAAAGAACACGGCATCAGTTTTCTGGGGCGCCACCCAGAGACCCAGATCCGCGATGGTTCTCACCACCGATGTCACCGCCGTCTCCGCTTTGAAGCGGGCCTCCCCCCAGTTCTCCTCCCGGCCGCCACTAACGTGTCGTCCGCGTAGCAGACGACGTGGCAGCCCAGGGGGAGCGGAGTACGCAACACCCGGTCGAACGCGATGTTCCATAGCAGGGAGCCGAGAATCGACCCCTGCGGAACACCGTGTTCTATGATGCGTCGGCCTTGGATTCCATCCTCCTTCGGGAAGGCGAGGTCCCTATCCCCGAAGTAGGCCGACAGGATCGGCCGGAGATAAACTGGCACCCCGTAGTCTTCAAGAGCCTGTCCAATATTCGGCCAGGGCAGGGTGTTGAAGGCGTTTTTAATGTCCAAGTACACCGCCAGCAATACCCTACCCCCCTCTTCACGACCGTCCCGATCAGGTCCCGGAGGTACTGGACTGCGACCAGTGTAGACTTTCCGGGCCTGAATCTGTATTGACGGTCGTGGAGGTTCAGCCCCTCCGAGGACAGGTGTCGGACGAGGCGATCGGCAACGATGCACTCGAGCAACTTGCTCACCTCGTTCAGCAGGCTTATAGGCCTGTAAGCCGACGCACTCCCGGGTGCTTTGCCCTCTTTGGGGAGGAGGATCAATTTGCGCCCTCCTCCACGCTGGGGGGAAGACCACCTCTTTTAGACATTCGCTCAAAACCCGGCGTGTGGCCGCGAAAAGGCCTCCCTCGCCGAGGGCGAGAGCCCTGGCGCGACCAGGAATTCCATCGGGGCCGGGGGCTTTCGCCTTGGCCCCGAGCTCCTTCCTGGCCTCCTCCAAACTCACCGCCAGTTCCTCGTCCCAGTCTCCCTCCCTCGTTTCAGGCGCAGGGATCCTAGGTAGGCTCCCTTTCACCCTCGGAAAGAGGGTGTCCAGGAGCTTCTCGAAGACCCGGCGATCCAACGTCTCCGTAGATGGGGGCGCCCAAAGGCGAATCTTGCCCATCGCCCTCTTGTACGAGCGCCCCTACGGATCGTCGTCCAAGGAGCTCGTCAATTGCTCCCAGGCTGCTCGTTTGGCTTCGGCGATGGCGAATTTGAGGGTCTTCCTGGCAGCCAAGTAGCCCTCTTTCGCCCTCGTGTCATCCCCGTCTCTTTGCCGAGTCTGATAATAATACCGTCTAGCCTGGACGGCTTTGCAGAGTTCCGCTATCTCCCCCGTCCAACAGTACGCGACCCGACGACGGCGGGAGTGGGCTTGGGACATCGCAACGTCGCACGCCGACGCCACGATACCCATTAATTCCCCAGCCCCCTCCTGGGGGCTGGGGGCCCACTCCCCCGGCACCTCACCCAGGTGCCAGGTGGACATGAGGACGGCCGCCCGAAACCTACCCGCGTCCAGTCGACTGAGAGCCCATCTTCTGGGGAGAGAAACATCCCCCTCCCTGGGGCAGCGGGGGCCAGCAGCCGTGGAGGTTTGGGGAGGCAGAGGGTCCACACTATGTATCTGTGATCGGACAGTGTTTCGCCCTCCAGCTCCACCTTCCACTCCTGAAACAACCAGGCGGCCGAGGGGGAAGCCCAGGTCAAGTCGATGACCGAGTCCCCTCCCACGCACACTGATGCTGGCCGACCCCTTGTTCATTAGCGAGAGGCCCAACCCCGTTGGACAATCGATCACTGCCTCGCCCCGAGGGTCCCACTGCCGGGGATTTTTTGTTTTTTTTACGAAGTGGAAATCCATCATGGATACCCTGACTCTCGGGAAAGGGCCAGGGTTATGCCGGACTCCTACCGGCTAAAACCTCCCCGGGTGGCGCTGCGAAGGGACTTGGATCGGGACCCCGGAGCCATGTAACTGCTAATCAGGGTCCCAAGTCCGGATAGACTATCGTCTTTTCCTCGAGGGGTGGGGGGAGGTGGAAGCAGGCCGAAACCTATCTTCTACCACCGCTCCCCCAGGGGGAAGGGGGAAGCAAGCCAGGGCTCGCTTCAACCACCGTTCCCCCTTCCACCCCTCACGCCCCGCCTCTTTGACTGGGAAGGAGGAAACCGGCAACGCCTGCGCTTCGACCACCGTTCCCAGCCAGGCAGGGCGCCGCCAATATATGTGCTGTGCGACCGACTGATCCACCTCCTCAGTCGGCCGCCCTACATGTGGAGGGCTGACTGGGACACCGGGAGTCCCCGCCCGGTGTCCCACCCTCCCGCCCGGCGGCTACGGGGAAAAATAGTCCCCTAGCCGTCAGGCGCTGCCACCTCCAATGGAGGGATGGGAGGGGTCTAAGTGACCCCTTCCTGCCTGTCCACCCTAGCGGTGGACCTTGCAGAGAGGGGGGAGAAGTGTTTAACCGGTGACAACGCCACCGACACTCTCCTCCCCCCTTATTTTCATCCAACTCTCGTATGAGGGGGAGTCGGCGTGTAACGAGGGGGGTTGGTTGCATCCTACCACCCTCGTCCCTGTTCCTTCCGCCACTGCCGCCCGTGCAGATGGTGGCGTTGCTACGATTTTCGCCTTTTTCCTTCCCCTGGTCGGTTGCCTACTACCTGCCGCCGTTACTACAGGTGAGTGCCTGTGCGCCCTATGTCGGGTGCTGCGGCGTCCCGCTTGCGCCTTTCCAGGAGGAGGTCTCCCGCCAGGGGGAGGAGGAGGAGCAGGCTGAAGGAGGTGGGGATGGTGGTCCATCCACCATCCTTCTTAACTCTTCCTCTTTAGAGGAATCCACATCCCCCTCTCTGCTCCTACTTCTCCCCGCCCTCCGTAAACGGTGATGCTCCCTCCTTCTCAGTCTTCTGCCCAGTCCTTCCGCTACTCTGCGGATCTCTTTCGCGGCCTCCTTCTGCGAGAGAACAGCCTCGCAGAAGGAGGCCAACACTCCCCACTTCTTCTCGCTCCCCACAATCGCCCCGACTACCGTGGGGAGCGAGAGATCGCATCCAAATTCCCGGATCACGACTCGCTCTGCGCTCCAGGCGGGGCAGTCCTGGAGCGTATGCTGCGCGGAGTCGTGATCGTGATCGCAGTGATGGCACTGCGTCGTGCGTTCCCTCCCTATTCGGCACAGGTACTCACCAAAGCAACCATGCCCGGTGAGCACCTGTGCCATTCTGAAGGTCACGGTCCCATGTGCCCTGCCCACCCAATCTGGTAGACAGGGCTAGACGGCCTCGACGGTCCTCCTGCCGTATCTGGCGTTCGCCAGAATCCTTTGCCATCTCTGGAGGATGACCTGCCGAGCCTGGTGCTTCATACGTTGCACTGCCCCAGCGAGCACTACGTCAGCCCCCCCTCTCTGATGAGCTCCCGCCTTCTGATGTACATATGTTTGTACGTCAGAGCGAGGAGCTCCAGGGGGCATGCTCGCCAGAGCCGTCGCCGCCACGTGGGATACCGTCCGGTAACATCGGGCCACTCTGACCGCCAGCATCCTGTGCACCCTTCGCAAGAGCGCTTGCATTGGGCGGCTGGCAGCCAGAGTGTCAGCCCAGATCGGTGCCCCGTAAAGGTCCACCGAGTTCAGTACCCCAGCGTGGAGGCGACGTGCCTTCTCGTCCGTTCCGCCAACTCTTATTAACTCGACTTACGTCGGCATTAACCTGCCGACGCAGGCCGAGATTGTTCTCAGCCGGGGGACCAGACGACTCATGTGCTCCCTGAAGCACCAGGTGCCGTCCAAGATGAGGCCCAGATACCTCATCTGGGCCTCTATCGGGACCCTGACCCTTCCCACGTATATCTGAGCTTGGGGTGGCTTCCTTCCCTTGCTATACAAGAAGATAGCTTCTGTTTTCCGTTCTGCCACCACCAGACCCAGATCGCGGATGGAACTCACGACGCATGCCACCGCGAAGTTGGCCGTTTCAACGGCCTCCCCCTAGTCTCTCTCCCCGGCTAAGACGAGCGTATCGTCAGCATAACAGATCATGTTGCAGCCGGGGGGGAGGGCTGCAGTTTGGAGGACTGAGTTATAGCCGAGGTTCCACAGGAGGGGCCCCAGAACGGACCCCTATGGAACCCCGCAACTCATCCCCCTCTCGCATACCTTGCCTTCGGCGTCCCTCCAGGTCAGACGCCAACCCCGGAAGTAGTCCTCGATGACGGCCACGAGGTAGGGTGGGAAATTGAAATAGCCACGAATGGCCTCCACCACCCTACCCCAGGGCAGGGTGTTAAATGCGTTGGCAATGTCGAGAGACACCGCCACCGCCACCCCGCCCTCTTGCACGATGGCCTCCGAGAGGGACCGCAGATGCAGAATCGCATCCACGGTTGAACTTCTCTCTCGGAAGCCGTATTGGCCGTCATCGAGGTTAGGACCTTTCCGGGACATATGCTCCACAAGGCGCGCAGCTATAACGCGCTCCAAGAGCTTGCCCGCCTCGTCTAGGAGGCATATGGGCCGGTATGCGGAGATATCCTCCGCTTTGCCCTCTTTTCGGAGGAGGACCACATTGGCCCTCCCCCAGACTGGGGGGAACCTTCCTTCCCGTAAGGCTCGCAAGAAGATTCTCGCGAACCTGCCATTACTGTACCCCGAGGCCAGGGTAAGGACGCGGCCGGGAATTCCGTCGGGTCCTGGCACCTTGCGGCTCTTGATCCTTTTGACGGCCCCGGCCACCTCCTCCTCAGTGACCCCCGATACCACCCCTTGTTGTTCTGGGGTAGGAGCAACATACGGGTCAATGGAGTCCCCCTCCCGTACTGGGAAGAGGGCCCTCATGTCCCGCTCGAGAAACCGGGGGTCAAGCGTTTCCGTTAGCGGGGGCGCCCATGGTTTCAGCTTTTGCACAACCATTTTATATGGGCGCCCTACGGGTCCGCACTTAATGAGAGGAGGAGGATGTCCCACCCTTTTCCTCTGGCCGCCCCAATTGCCTCCCTCAGGGACGTTGCCGCTAGGCAGAACTCCCTGCGGGCGGCCAGAACGGCCTCGGGGTCTGAATCCGGGTCGTTTCGTACCCGTCTAAATGCCCGCCTGAGGTGGACCGACTTTTGCCTGAGATCGGCTATGGCGTCGGTCCACCACCAGGCAGACCTTTTCGGGCAGGACCTGACTCTGGGCATGGCTTCATCGCACGCATGTGCGATCACTTCCATTGTTTCCATAAACTCAGAGTCAAGGTCCTGCCCTTCCGTTTGTCATGGCCAGGTGGCAACCTCGAGGAATAGCTCGAGGGCCTCCCTGTCTAACTGATTGAGGGCCCATCGCCCTTGTCGGGGTTTCAAACTCGGGGGCTGGGACCGCAGGCCCTGGGGGGTGACGGACGGCTCCATTTTTATAATGAAATGATCCGAGAGAGCTTCGAGCTCGTCCGCCACCCTCCAGCTCCGCACCCGCTTCAGGATCGCGGGGGAAGCCCACGTGAGATCGATAATCGAATCCCCCCGCGACCCCACGAACGTTGATTTATTTCCCTCGTTCATCAGGTGCAGATCTAGGTCTGCGGCCCAGTCCCCCACCTCCTCCCCCCGCCTACCACTTCGCCGAGATCCCCACAGCTCTGATTTCGCATTGAAGTCCTCGGCGACGATGACAGGCTCAGGGAGGTACCGTGCAATGGCCCTCCGTATTTCTCGGGGCCTGGACCCAAAATTCAGCAGGTCCAGGCTTTTTGTTGGGGAAGGTATACCCCGACCACGATCAGGGCCCCCACATGGCCACGACAAACCCTCTCCCTCCACCCAGCCGAGTGGCGGAAGGTGAACCACCGTTCGTCTTCCATACTATCGCGACGGAGCCCTGCTCATCCCCGAACCACCTAGGGTGATTCTTGGGGACTATGTAAGGCTCCGCCGCTATTCCTAGTCCTGCACCGCGCTCGGCCATAGTATGCTCAAAGAACGGTGATGCCTGCCGAGCGCGGTGCAGGTTAGATTGGAGGAGCCTTGTATCCATTATTGGATTAGTTTTTCTGCAGGCTCCTCCTCCCTATCCTCGCTGTCACTCCTCTCCTTCGGCCGAGGACGCTTTTCTCCCCTTCTCTCCACCTCCATCTCTTCGCTTTCTTCCTGCGGTACATCCGCGGAGAGTATTGGGTCTGCCGACTCCGATGAAGGGGGTAGGGACTCCTCGACCCTTTTCTCCTCATTTGTTCCCTTGAGGGGAGAGAGGAGGTGCGGGTGGCGCCAGTGCGGATGCCCCCGTTTCCCGTCCCTTTTCCCTCCCCTTTTTTCTCCTTCTCTTAGGGGGTGGCACGACGATTCCCTCATATGGTGGCCAGCCGGTTGCCCCGCCTCGGCGCAACTCACACTTCGCCGAGGCGGTGCATTCGCGGGCTAGGTGACTTGCTTCACCGCATCTATAGCAGCTCAGCCTCCTATCCTTTTCGCTGCTACAGTCACTTTGAACATGCCCTCTCTCTAGACACCTATAACACTGTAAGGGCCTTACTTCCAGCATCTCCGCCCTTACTTATGTCCACCCTATGGCCAGGGTCCTCTTCTCTGCAACCTTCTTTGTGGCCACAAGGGGACACCTGACCCATAGGGATCTAGGCCCTGGTGGTGTGGCTCTTATTGTCCCCGTTTGGACATCGGAGACCTTACACTCTCCAATCTCTGCTACTCGTTCCGCAGCCTCCTTCTCCGTGGAGGAGATCTCCAAGCCACGGAATCGAATTTCCCCCATCTTTTGCGGACGGTTAATTTTGGCCTTGTTAGCCAGAACTTCTTTTAGCTTAGACGTGAGAGTATCCGCCTGCGCGTTCCTATTTTGCCTCATCACCTTGCCTCGTCCTGATCATGGAGATCCCTAGGCCATCTATATCTATCTTCTTCTTGGCCTCTATTAATATTTCTTTATATTTCCCCCTCTCCGCGGTAATAGGTATTGGGGACCTTCCTCTTGATCTTCTTCCCCGCATTCCCTTCCTTGGCCGTTATCTTCGGAGGCATCTCTTTTTCCTCCTCCTTCTTCTTCCTTTTCTCTTTCCGCCCTACCACTTTCGCCCAGGTTTCTTTGGGCTCAGGGTTGAACTTCGGTGTCCTTTGTGGTAAAGGCAGGCTATCCTCCGTCAGGGGGAGTGGGGATATGTCCTGATGTTGAGGCTCCTGTTTTTCCGGCCTTTGCCGGATGCCTGATGCCTCTGTCGCCCCCTTATTTTTTCCTTTTCCACCTTTGTCCTTAGGTTTTTGAGATTGGGCTTTCCTGGCCTTCTCCTCTTCCCTACGACCCTGGTCTTTGGTCTTTTTCCGGTACTCCCATAGTTCCATTGCATGGAAAACTATGGAACTTACTCTTTTTTCCACAGTCTCCTCCTTTGCTACCATTGGTAGATCACATTTCTCGATCCTCACCTTGTTTAAGGATATATCCTCCCTTAACCTCGGACCTGTACCCTTTTTTCCATCAAGCTCTCCTTTCCTTTTTCCTTGTTTGACAAGATGCACCATGCCCATTTTTATTAATCCTGGTTGGACATCAATAGCCCCCCACCACCAGGGGCTCCTCCTCATCGGTGTCTGCAGATGGAGGTAAGATCGTCCTCCCTGAACCTTCCCTCCTTCTTTCCTCTTCCCTTACGTATTCCGTAGGCGAGGGGGTCACAGCCACTGACGGCAGCGCCCTCCTTACACTACGGGTTACGTATCCTTCGCGTGACTGAGGCGAGGAGGACACCGCCGTTGACAACGGTGCTTCCCTTACACTATGTCTCGTTTCCTGCCTGTGTGCCAAGGGCGAGGGGGATATCGCCCTCGATGGCGGTGCCCTCTTTATACCTTGTAACACACTCCTCAGTTCTTCTACTTTCTTCTTCATCTGTTCCTGAGAGGTTCGGAGCTGTTGATTTTCCTCCCTTAATTCCTCCAGGATTTCCAGGTTCTCCCCGTTTTGGCCCATAGCCATCCTCCTTTCCATAAGCGTTGTTCCTGCCGCAATGGCTACCGACGCATCCCGCAGGACCTTCACATAAGTCCCCTTTAGGTTTTTGGAGCGTACTGAAACTCCAAGAATCTTCATAGATGCCTCCAGGACCGATGCGGCCTAAACCCGACCACATCCCTAAATGGGGCCTCCTCCAGGTGCTCCGTGAGTTTACGCACCTTATATTTTCTGTTCTGCGAACAGTCTTGATAGGCCTGTGAGCGATTCTCCAGCCCCTTCAACTGGCCCTCCTCCTTCTTTTTTGCGAGAAAGCTTTTCCTCTTTTTCGCTAGGAAAGCCAGCTTTCTCTTATACTCGCCCGTGGTCTCGGGTCTCCCCCTTGTTCGGGTTGCTTTTTTTCGGCAAACCCGGTTCCTCGTCCGTCTCCCCGTCGGATTTCCTGGGGATGCCCCATTTGTCTTCACCGGGGTCCATTCCATCCGAGGATGTGGTTTTAGACGAGGATTCGACCATCTTCCTGGGCGATCTCGACCTAGATCGTGACCTATGGGGGTTCGCAGCTCGTTTGGTGGTGGAACTGCGGAGTCCTTCTCTTCTCGTCAGCCGGCTGGTGCTTGGTTGATCTTCTAGGACTATATGCCCCTCCTTACTGCTGGAGTCGCGGGTAGGCTCCAGATTACTCGTGTCCATTTTTTAGGCAGGGTCGTATAATCATTTTCCAGGTCCGATATTACAATATAAGAGTCAGTCATTTTGGTATAAACCCCAAAACTTTGCACGGCTCCGGTGCCCGAGCATGCGCGCATCCCTCGGAAAGGGGGGAGCCTCCGAGTTCCCCCAGAGGAGCACCGTATGGCGCGGGCCGACGGAAT